CTACGGGCAATTTAGAGTTTCCAGTTCACCCGATGTGCACATGTTTGGACTGTGGGAGGAAACTGCAGAGGCCAGAGGAAACCCAGACGAGCACAACATGCAAACCCCCATTCAGAAAAATCTGATTTTAACCCAGGTCCTTTTCAATATCTGCTCGGTATCGACCCGATAGGGTGTGTTTAGAGTCACTTATATAACTGTCAAGTATGAAAAGCTGCCATTGAATACTTCATCAATCATTAAGTCTTAAGTTAGTGAAAGATTTCCTGATTTAAATCAGATTGAAATCATTTTCCAGGACATTTTCTTGACAATTCAGGACACCACTTATACTCATACACATATAGTCATATATGTATAGTATAATTTACCAGTAGGCCTAGCATTGACTTTAACTCCAGTTTTATGCCTCCTTTTATAATGATGTGTCTCTGTGTGTTTCAATAAAGCGTCAAAAAGATTGCCGCAAGTCTGTGCCACTTTGCATCTGGTGTGAACAGCTAGACTGACGCCGGGCCAAAATAAAACAGGAGTATTTTAAACTTTTTTCCGTTCCACTTCACTGTCTGGTTAACCCACTTTCAGGTGTCACAGTTTCAAAACCCAAATACGCACCTAGGTTCATGGAGATCTGAGTGAGGGGCTAAAATACAATAAACATTTATGAGGACAACATAGATTGTTTCCAGGATATTTGGTCATTTTAAATCAATCTCCAAGTGTTTCCATGACTGGAAAACTAGTCTCTAAATTTCCAAATTTGCTTTCCAGGAGGCGAGGGAACCCTGGCAAAACCGTATCACTTGGTATAAGGTACCTCAGGTATGATTTTAGCACCACTGTTTGTTTAAATTATATATTTTTGAATATGTCATAAACAGTGGAGATCAAAGGGACTTTGACTGTGTAAAATGGATTGAACCTAAAAACAATGTGGTGTCTGCTGGTGGTGATGGCAGCAGTAAACCTACCTCCTCCGGCGGCGTTGGTGTGAACTCAATGGAAGGTGGACGAGCAACAGACATGATGGCGCCCGGCAGGGAGACGTTGGACAGTCGTCTCTTCTTCACTCCGCTGCAGTTGTTGGGGATCTTGAACGCACACCGTTTGTGGTAGTTCAGTCCGCATCCTGAAGAACAGAAAATCATGTTCGCCACTTTAGTTTATGTTATGTTAAAATGCTGACATTCTGCTGCCCTCTTGTGATGATTTAACTGTAAACTTGCCGCCCTTGTTCGCTGCAACCATAGAAACGGCAGCAAAGGACACACCTCTTAACCAGCAGATAACAGACAGATCAATGAGGGGAGCAACATCAGCTATATAGTCTGATTATCCCGTCTGGGGACAACAAACAACGGTTATGATATGTCATATTGTTAAACGTTCAACCTGCTCTATTTGGCTGCTCTATGAGATTATACTAGGTGGGTAGCCTGTGGTGTGCAGACTGGTAGGATCGAAGTTATGTAAAGTGCTTCCAGTCTTTATGCTAAGCAACTTCCGGCTCTAGTTCCACACACGAGACTGGTATCGATTTTTGCACCAAAGTCACACAAAGACAAAATTTCAACATTTATCTCCTAAAATGTCTAAGTATTCTGTTAATATTTTGTTTATTTTTTCATCCTTTTTGCTTTTCTAGTAATTTGGAAACAACCTTTTTATACACTGCGTTAACGTCTCTCTCACTCCCACTGTCGGCCGGTAAAAAAGCCATGTGCTTCCTCTGGTTGACCTGCCAGTGAGGAGCTTTTGTGGGTGTCTCAAGTCTGTGAGGAAACCATAGCCAAAAAAGCAGGTACGTGAATTTTAAAGAGGTCAGAATGTGGCCTCAGGTTACTGAGGTTGTTTACCAGATTAGATGCTTCAATTGTTTACAAATGACAAAAGTCCTTCACCTCCCATCAGTCAGACTGAGTGGGCAGATTCCTGTCAGTGTGAAAAGTAGCTTTAGTTATTTAAGCGGAAGCCGTATTCCTGCGCCGACTGCCGCTTGCCTTGCTCAGAACATCAAGCGTCTCTTTTCTCCGCTTGGCATCACAACAGTTAAGATTCTCTCTGAGGTTTCTGAGCGCTGAGATCAGAACTTGAAAGATGTGAAAAATAGTCGCAGGAAGTCACAGAGTCAATGAAGACATCCTGCTGTAGAGCTGCTGCAACTTTCAGGCTTGAAATCCAGTGTGTGTGTGTGCATGCGTGTGTGTGTGTGTGTGTGTGTGTGTGTGTGTGTTGGACGTGTGCCTGGGCCTTGATTCGTAGGTGATGACTTGGTCAGTTTGGACATGGTAGGAATCAAAGCCGAGACTAAACCCTGAGGAGCCACTAAACACAGCCTCAGAGAGAATAAAACTTGATTAAATGTAATAAAACAATCATGACATCAAGCTGCATTTGTCCAAGAAGCTGAATGTTCTGTTTTTCAGCGGGATAGAGGTCATGGCAATCAAGTTTTATACATTTAGAGATCCATTTTCAGTTATTCATCGTGGTGCAGCGACAGTCGCTCAGAGGGGATGACGTGCAGCTTCCTATTCGTCTCTGTTACACTCATTAAAATTTGATTTCTCTTACATCACCACAGAAACACTGGCAGCACACATCACTTCCTCTCATAAACTTTAATTGAGCGGAAGCTTGTCTGAATTGTTTTAAATACCCAGATATCCTGACAATCCTTTTCTGAGTAAACTGCAATGTGATCTGTGTCACACCTCTATTTATGTTTCTTTATTTCTGTAGCTCTCTGTTGATGTCAGTTTCACCCTTAGTGTGTTTATGCGGTTTTTAGATATCCTAAAATGGCCACCATACAGAAGATAAACTCTTTTGTTTTAGGAAACAACATGACCCTTCCTCTAGCAACACAAACCTTACATTACTTACTGATGGTAAAGATAAAATGGGTTCTCTCATTTTTTATTCACCCAACTGTTTTGTTTTGCAGGATTTAATTAGTATTACAGCCTCATGGGGTCACTGGTGTGGGTTTTATTAATTATGATTTACAGACTGGCCCAGATAGTTATCTAGAGCATCATGCAACTGAATGTGATTTGTACCGACTATAATTAAATTAGTGGAAGCTGCAGATCTACAGTCGTACAAATGAGGAATGGAGGATTCTTTAAGCCAGCTCCTTTTTTTTCACATTGCATTCCTTTTGGTAGAAATTAAACCTTCTCTTATACAGCATGAAACTATAAGGAGAGTTTTTTAGAAGCAACAAAATCCACAAAGAATGGACCCAACTGACCCTTCCTAAGTCCTGCTCCTCAACAGCTGAGGAAGCCTTGGTCAGTAGCGCGGTCATCGTTTTTTAAAACATCTTCAAAATGTGGTTGTCTTTTTAACATAAATGAGCACAGAGTATATCTGAGTTGAGACGAAGTTGAAAGTTGAATGAGGTTCTGACTGAGGCTGGTTCATTGACAGTATGTAATTAGTGGACAGAGCTACTGGGTCTGAAGTGAAGCCAAAGCGGAAGGGTCTTAAACCTGCATTATTTCTAATGGCCAGCAGGGGGCAGCTCCATGGGTTGCACAAAAGAATAGTTTCTTATGTAAAATCGACCCTACTTCTCACTTGGTTTATTAGCTCAGTAAACAGTTTCCTAATTAGTTTAAGGTTTTAATCTCTAGTTTTTCTTCCATACAGCGTGATGTTCATTTAGTAAATTATGGTCCTATTTAGAGGAAAATAGACAATAAAGCAGGGTATGCTTTTGGACATGTCTAACCTTGCGTCATTCTCAGTGAGTCCATCCAGTGTCCAAACTGTCAAACTAGGTGGTGCCAATCAAATATGAATCAAGATTCTGTCACAGTGTTGCCTATTTGTCACCTAAAATCTTTTCAGAAACACATTTTAATGCACTGTTTATCTGGAATATGAGAACGTGTGTGTGACCAGACAAGCTGCCATTGTTTAATGCCAAACTCAAGGCTTTAAAACAGTACTCCACAAACCAATGGGTGAGGTTATGATAGGTTCACACTTGTGCTTGCTCAACTGTTATTGGAGCACAGAGCAAATAGGGGCAAGACTTATGTTAAACCAAAACAACCTAATTTGTAGCTTGGTAATACTATAACATTCACTCACATAACCGGATGCATCTCTAATCAACGCCACATTTATGATTTGATCTTAATGTAATGCACACGTAATGTGCTTCTCTTCAGTTTGAACACAGTCAACAGACAACAGTCTGTTCATTCAGGATATATGTGACTGCAGGTGTAAACCACAGCAGCCATCGTAACGTGACGTAAATAACCCAGTCGCAGCGAAAACCTCCGACCTTGCAGAATCTCGTTACCACATTTTTACCTTCACATTTGAGGCCCTGTCTGACGAGCCCCCACAGCATCTCCCCACAGTCATCGCAGAAGGCCGGCGCCTTGTAAGAGTGAACGTACAGCGTGTGAGGTCGGATCTGGAAGTCCTCGGCTGTGGCCAGAGCTGAAAATAAAAAAAACACACAGAGCGGTCAAAAAACAAACAACAACATGGGAAGTTTTCCATCCTACAACTGGTTTGAAAGAGGATGCTGAGAGATGCCGTCCCTACAGCCTCTAATTATTTTATTTGTTGACCGTTCTTTTATTATCTTCTGTATATGCCGATATCCACAATCAAGTTGTGCTGCTGCTGATCTGTTTAAAAAATGCCTTGATCGGCTTAGGTTGTGACTCCAATCCTGCAAATCGGCTAAAACTTAATTCAACTTCTTTAATGTGGCTAAAGAAGGTAAAAAATAAAATCCTTAAAACTAGAGGATTAGAACCACCAGAGAAATGTCACTGACTGAGCACAACAAGGTTGTTTTACTTGGAGCACAATAGGTCACCATAAACAAAGTACTGTACATGGATCAGGTTTTACATACATGACAGTGATCCATGGATCAGTCCTGATCGTTATCCCAATCCTTACACACCGCCTGAGGACATCCCCAAAGATTATATCTACAGTATCTCAGTGATGCTATTCTTGTGTGGCTTGTACCTTTGATTCTATATACAGGACACCTCAGAGGCATTTTGGATGGGGGTAGTGTGTGTACGCTGGAGGCTGAAAAAAATATGCAACGACCTGTTGCGGAAAGGTTGAAACCAGACCAGTTAAACTGCTCCACAATAAGCCTGAACTATGATACTCTCCCAGTTGTGTCTTTGGTTTATTTGTTGTAACCAGTTTCAACATCTGTGCCTGGCTGTCAGTTTCTGTTGCACAACAGCGACACCAAGAAGCTTCCTTTGGTTTATGTCTGTTTTGTTTGGGCAAAAGAGAGAGACTGAATGACATCTATGGTCGAGCTACATAGACAGTGAATGTCTACTATGTGCTTTTATGGCCTTTAATTGAGAGTGACAGCGGTAGAGGGACAGGGAAAGGGGAGAGAGAGAGAGAGGGAATGACACGCAGCAAATGGCTACAGGTCAGATTCGAACCCATGGCTGCTGCAGGAAGGACTCGGTCTGCGTACATGGGGAGCCAGCTCTACCAGGTAAGCTAACAGGGACCAGGGTACATTTTACAGCAATCCATCAAGTAGTTTTTGAGATATTTCACTCAAAACCACAACAGTGTCAACCTCACAGTGGCCCAAGAGGGAAGTCATTAGGATAACTTATCTGAGAAACATGAATGTCTGGACCAAAATTAATGGAAATCCACCTAATACTTGAGAGATTTCAGTCTGGACTAAAGTGCTAAAACATCGCCATCCCCTAGAGCCGCGCTGGCTCTCTGCTACAAGTGAAAACACAGTGTAGCTCCCTGCTATCTGTTATCTAATCTGTTGACCCTTGTGTGAAAAAGAGATGACTTATAACAGACAGATATGTCAGTGTCAGTTTGAATGTCAAAGAATGATTGGTATGCTTTCTTTTCAGAATCTGACAAAACAAATTTTGAATAAAAAATGTGAAAGTCAGTTCACATGTTCCATATTCTGTTCTGTATCTGTGAATCTGTTGCTGCACACTCAGATCAATCAGATTGATCATGATTAAAGCTAACATTTGTTTAGTGCTTGGTCAATCGCTTTGTCCTTAATGAACTCCCATACGTTTGTCCCCTGACATAAAATCTCTCTCTGGGGCCTGTGTGGCTGTAGAAAACTGTCACTGTCATTTTCATTGCAATATTTGTATTTGTAACATTGGAGAGGTTGTGATTATTGCAGGTTTTAAGCAGTTGTAATTGTGAAGACTAAGGGGGCCAGCAAGGAACGGAAAACATATGAGTCAGTGACAGAAGACCTTATCTAAAGCTTCTCTTTGTAGCAAGTTCTCCAAAGCATCTTAGAGTCAGGCAAGAGTTGTAAGGTGCCTCCACTGTTCTACTAACAGAGACAGATATACTAATAGAGAGATGAACTCGATGTGCTCTGCAGGGTTGTGCAGCAGTAGCAGCAGCAGCAGGAGGACGAGGAGGAGGAGGAGGAGGAGGAGGAAGTGGTCGTGGGTTTGAGACCGATGCGGTTCAGGCTGCGACTTTGTTTTCTTCCTCCCGTGTAATCTAAACCTGCCGCTGCTCTGCGTCTGGGTGTTCAACTGTTAAGGTGTCAGTTTTAGTTTTTACAACCCAAACTGTCGACACGACTCAGGAAATGACAATCCTATACACAATATTATGGTTACAGCATGCAGGGTGACCCGGGGCGGCGCTGCGGTGGAGGAAACAAGATCTAAGGCGACCTCACCGCTCTCACTCAGAGGTGGATTAACAAGAGAGCTGGAAGAGGAGCAGAAGCGAAGACAAAACAAACAATGAACAATAAATACGTAAAGTGCTTCAAGTTGTTACTGCTTGAAACTCTCCAACTGTTGAATGGTCACAGGTCAACCTGCACTGCCAATGTGCACAAATAAATACAACTAAATGTACTTCTACTAATAGTGAAAATAAGATCTAACAAAATCTTCTTCTTGGATGTTTGTAGCTGATAGCTGTAGGAGAAATCTTTAGAAATTAACACAATTTCCATATTCACAGCTTCAGGTATTTCTAATAAGGCAGAAGGAGTAGATGCCTTTTTAAGAGCGAGGAAATGATACTTTCTGTGGAATAAACACATCAGACACACGTTGTCGTTCCAAGAAGACTATTTGTGTACGTGCCTTATAACATGTCTGGAGGGCTATCTTTAATCTGTTATTTTAAATCCATACATTTGACAAGAAACCAAATAAGGATTTTGTACATACCGGTTATTTTTTGTTCATTTTCACTTTTATCAACGTTAGCTGCAGTTTGGTGCAGACTAAAATATCTCAACAACTATTAGATGCATACTATGACATCTATATATATATATATTATATATGTATCATATATGAGTATATATATACTATATATATTAGTATATATATATGATATATATATATAGTAGAGATGGATTTACGCATCTCCACTTCCTCCCACTGTACAAAAATGAAGCCAGAACATTGCGGATACAGACAATTGTTCTGCTGATGTCGTTTGGAGCAAGAGTCTGTGTGTAGTGATTAGAGGTTGGCACCGCGGTATTGTGGTCCCACCAGACACCAACACCCAACAGAGTCAATCGTGACGTGAAACACCCTTTTTTATAACATCAACACAAAAACCAAACAATGAACACTTGAACATACATCAGCATGATAAGAACTACCTAAAATGATTCGGGGGTTCCAGTAACAAAACGCCCCATTAATCCTAATCTAGTTGGAGCTCTGATGCTGGTAGGGGTTGGGTTCCTGATATCAGGGTCAGAAGCAAGAAACTAATTGGACCGATGAGGAGGATGTAGACTTACAGACAACAGGAGTAACTTATTAATAAAGAAATAATTAACACAATAAGAGCTTTTTACCGGAGAGCACCACTTCGACCAGGTCGCCTTCATGGATCTCCTCGGCTGAGGTCAGACGCTGCAGGATGTTGTCCGAGTTCAGGTCGTGGCGGAAGAGTAGGATCTTGTCGTACATCCCAAAAAATCCGCATTCAGGGAACTGAGGAAGAGGAGGAGGAAGAGTAGGTCAGGGATTCATGTTGATTTAGAGTGACGGTACTGCAGAGTTGAAAAGGTTAAAACTTTGAAATGAGTTGAGAGAACCATTAATTAATCATTAATAAAATAGATAAGATAGATAAGATAAAGTACATTTTATTCATTTATCCCAAAATCATAAATAATACATTTGCCTCAAAAGAACTCCATGATGCAATCTATCGATTAAATAACCTGATTTACTTTTATTCAGTCCCTTAGTTAAACAATTTCCAGCATAAACACAAGCCAAAAATATAAAAACATGTATGTTTTAGCAAATTTCATGCCAATTATTTTATTAAATTATGAGGCTTGAGAAAGTTGACCTGGGGGTGGCGCTACAGACACAACTCACAATTCATTTAAAATCAAGTCATAATAACACAGCAGGCAATGCTGAAGGTTGTTGTTTAAAAGCTGCAAGGAAAACAGCGATCTAGACCAAAAGGTACTGCTGCAACCTGCTGACCTCTGACCCCTCGAATGAACCACCAATGTCCAGACAGAAGCTTGTCCTCGTGTTTTCTACTGAAAGGGAGGATTTCATTGACATGACTTCATTTTTGGTGGCGGTCCAGCCTGTTCCTGAAGTTAACAGTTACCTAACCTTTTCATATGAGGAACACATGATGTGTGATGAAACACATTCAGAGAAATACCACACTGGGAAACTACCAGCAGCCAAGCTGAAATATATTTTCTACTGTGGCTGCTGAATCAGTTTCAATTCAGTTGCAAACAACCAACCGCCATTTACTTTCTGCTTTTTAAAAAAGAAATTAGATTTTCTGGTTGAAACTCCACAAGCTGCTATGGTTTTTTGTTCCAAAACACGAAGGTTTCCCAGCAGCTACATCCTCTTTATAAAAGCCTTAAATACCATGTAAGTTCAAGTCTGGGTCACTGCCCTTGTCACATATAATTCTCTTTCCGTTGCAACTTTCCTGCCATCCACAGTGGGAGACAATTTTACAGCCAAATGTTCTGGTCTACTCCGCAGGTAGCAGAAAACATAATGTGAAACACGGACAAAGCGTCAGTCAGGTGTATGAATAAGTTAAGAGAGGCAGTTCCCTTAGCTACCCAGTTTAACGGAGCGTCACTGCAAATGAATGCTGCAAGACTAGGAGTGATCCCGGAGTACTACAAAAACTCGTACTTTTCACTTGAGTAGAGGAAACCAATAACTGCACACTGGCTTAAAATAGACACACCTTCACCTCAGAGTCAATGGGTTGTTGAATGGGCTTTTGGTCAGATGACTGAAATAAAAAGGACCAGTGTGGAGGAATTCGAGGCATCAACTCCCTCGCTTCACCACCCCCTTCCAAGCATGAAGGAGACATTTTGATGGCTTTCCCTATCCACTTTGGGTTACTATAGAAACATAGCCGTTCAACGTGGCGGTATTTAATACGTGGTAGTTTTTCTACCTTCTAGAGAACAAACATTTTCCATTCATTTCTTTAGAATTTCAAGTCAATAAGCAGACTCTTGAAACATGCTCGAGTTGCATAATCCATCACAGTTAACATCAAATATGTATTTTTGACAAAGTTATATTGTCATTAAGTGGTTATGCAGCTGTGAGTAAGTAAGGATGTATAAAGGTCTGCACTGCTTTTTCTCTTATTTACCTGTACAATACAACTAAAACACTATAGCATGGTTTGCAGTAAATCATTCAAAGTAATTGGTCCTTTAAGGGGGTTTTTTAGTTGTTCCTCGGCCCTCATGACTCAACCTTCCTCGGTACCACTGCATTTTTAAATGTGTCACAACAATTCTGGGCCTGAATTTTCTCAGAAATAAAGTCTCAGATGAAATTATTCAGTGTTTGATGGACAGTCACTGTAAAGATTTCATACATACTAAAAGCCTCATATAATTTAATAATAATTTTGATTAAATTGACTAAATATTTTTTAGTTTTCAGTGAATCAAGACTGAAACTAGTTTTTAACTAAAAATCTTATATTATCTTATCAAAAGTCTACATAAAGAATCCAAAATGAACACTCATGGATTAAGGGTATGTACTTTTATGGCAAGGTGAACGGTGTATGTTGTTGGTAAAGTGTGTGTACTGGATTTGGGGTTCATCGGCAGTCTCTGCAGCCTGCAAACAGGCAGGTGGAGCAGCTTCCTGCCCTGAGCCACTCTCTGTGTTAGCAGGATGTTAGCAGTGTGCAGGTAGCATGCAGCATGGATCCTGCAGCGCACACCGACAGCAGGAAACCAGGTGCCAAGGCACACACAATACACAATACACAATACACACACACACACACACAAAATGTCCATCGTGAATTATGGCTGAAGTCTTGTCACTGACACCCAGCCGTCATTAGCCATGTGGCTACACACCAGCGCTCAAACAAATAGACAGTGACAGATGGAAACAGTCACTCTGTTATTTCTGCACTGGAAGAGTTCCCAGCAGACGAGCTCAGTTGGGCTGACCTGGGACGGTACTCTCCTTCGAACTAAAGCCTACGAATGGACTATGAGGGCACAGATACGTGAAGCATAGCAGCAAGACACCCAGACTGAAGGAGAGGCAATATGACAACAAACAATATGGCTGCGTTTGTAAGAGACGCGCCTTTGTGGTTGTTTTTTGCGTTTCTTTGTGGTCATTTTGTCTCCAGTTATTTTGCTTCATCATTTATCTTGAGTCTGACACATTCAACAGAAGCTGTTTCTAAGCATTAAACCATCTCTCTTTGTCACTTTTGTTGTCTGATTAAAACATTTTCTGTTCTCTCATTCTGCTGCAGCTCTGAAACTATGACAAAGCAGGAAGCTGTAAAGAAAAAAAAAAAAATCCTCCGTGAGGACAGAACCAGAAGTGAAAACGCTTCTTTTCAGCTGCCATGACGACGCATTTTGGCTCCGTCCAATCACGTTAGAGTCAGTCATCGGCTGCATTCTCTGAGGTGAGCAGAGAAACACACTAAGAGTTCTGTTAATGGACAAGAGTGTGTGTTTAATACACACTCATCCCCTCTTTATGGTTAATCCTCCATTAACCAGGCTTAACCTCCACGCACCAACACACAATCCCTTTCTGTAACTCCCTCACCAAACTGAAGCCACATTTCTGAATACCCACACAGTCTAGTTCTGGATGTCAGGATCACAGAGGCCACAACCTCCAGGCCCTGTCGTGACCTTTGACCCCGACGCAGGAGCTGGAGCTGGAGCTGGAGCTGAGGGCTGAGAGATGTCTATGTCTCTAACTTTAGGCTATGTTTTTTTTTTTTACCAAGTCAGGGTGGAGGGATATCCATCACCTCTTAATCTGTGCAGCACTCATGCCATTATCAGTGAGACTAAGTGTTCATGGAGCCCAATAATCCTGGTTCTAAAAAGGGAGGACAGCACCCTTAACATCCAGCCCATGAACATATACACACACAAAAAAAAAAAAATCGCTTCATGAAGTTTATGTAAAACATTATTTATGCAGGAGTCCTAATAGCTCACCTGGTGGAGCTGGAACCCCTGTAAGGCTGAGTCCTCGCTGCAGCAGCCATGGGTTCGACTCTGACC